TTGTTTGAGGTTGTTATTTTGGTTTTTTTTGTTGTTGTTACTAAATATCTATGGTGTTGTTATTCTATATTTGCCGTTCTTGTGGTGGTTGCCGCCGCTGTTTGCTATTGATGTGTCTGCAGTAGGGACGCTATCACAGCTGTGCACTTTCGGGGCAAAATACATTGTCAAATCCACGCACTTTATAACGGCATTGATACAGTTTGATTGCCGATCTTTAGTACCAATACCATCCTCTGCATTTGACTAAGTTATGGCTAATATATCAATTTGATATAAGATTGCATTCGATTTCTATGTATACACGTAAAAGGAAACGGCGGCTTTTCAGTAAAAACAACAACAACATAACAATAACAACAATAGCAACATCAACAACATATTTATAATGCAGGGGAGACATTTAAAGTGTTGGAGCAGTGTTTAATTGCTCATAAAGAACAGACACTGAAGTTTTGTGGTTTGTCCCACCTGCGTACATAGGCCTTTAAAACTTTCTTTTTTCCCCTTATTCCCCGCACTGCCGTTCTGCTGGCCAGCTGTTTTAGTTTCAGATTGGAAATGAATTACTGAATAATGCACATTTTTGGCACGCTCTTTTGGTTAGGCTCAATGAAAGAAGAAAAATATCCTTGCAGTTGTTGACACCTTTGTATCTGCTGCTATGCCCCGATTGTTTTGGCTGTCGTTGTTTCTGAAGTAATTTTAAAACAGGACGTAAAACTGTTTTAGTTTTGAAAACCAGTTTTATTTTTATGCATAAAATCTCGTGTGTGTATGACGCGAATTCACCTGACTCGTTCTATCAACTGACTCACCTGGAAAATATGTTTTCGTGAATCTATAGAATGTTATGGGAAATACTACGAGGGTATGCATTATAATATTTATGCATTCTGAAGAGGACTCTAACCGTTGGAATGACAATGTATTAGCAAATCATAAATTGTATCGATCGGTTTAAAAGTTCACGACCCTGACAGTATATACGGCTTATTCATTTTTTTAAAGTGCGCGGCTTTGACGCTTTCCCGTTCAATCAGCCTTCACAGTAATGTAAAATGTGTCGAAGACGGAGGGCAAAATGTAAAAAAAAAAAGAAATTTAAAAAATAAAAACTTATTAAAACAAATATATTTCAAAAAATGAATAAATAAATAAATAAATAAATGAATAACTAAATTTTTAAAAAATTAAAATTAAAATTATTTTTTAAAAATTAATAATAATAATAATAATAATAATAATAATAATAATAACAATACTATCCCCAGCTTTCCTGTGTATGAGTATCCTAGTGAAAGTGGTCACACCCCGGAAGATTTGCCTGGCAGGTTCCTTCCTCTTGGCGTTGGGCGTCGCTCTGAATAGCTGTGTAGGGAAGGTGGAGCTGCTCTGTCTCTCTCACGGAGTCTTCTTTGGTAATCGTGTTTACTGAATGAATGAATGAATGAATGAATGAATGAATGAATGAATGAATGAATGAATGGGTGGATGGATGAATGAATAAATGAAGGAATGAATGAATGAATGAATGTGAATGAATGAAGGAAGGAATGAATGAAGGAATGAATGAGGGAATGAATATTGATAAATTTTTTTCAATTTCATTTAATTTATAAATTTCTTTCTTTATTTCTTTACATGCATTTCTTTCTTTCTTTCTTTATTATTAATCTATTTCTTTCTTTCTTTATTCATTTATTTAAATGTCTAACCTAAACACAGTCTTTGTATTGGGCCCTTGTAGTTAGTAGTTGCTCGTTGCTACTGCGACCTTTTGTTTTCTCCTTCTTTCCTATCATGATCAAACTTCTATCGCCCCTATCTCTCCTCCTTATTTTTGTTACTCTCTTGTAACACCTCTAATCGTCGGCACTTATATTATTATGGCCTGATTGTGTTGCAATTACTGTAAAACTCTTACTAAAAAAGACACTATCTATCTATCTATCTATCTATCTATCTATCTATCTATCTATCTATCTATCTAATCTTTTCCTGTCTCCCCTAGGCTTGGCGCTGGGCTGTCTCTACGGACCACCCACTTACGTGCTGGCGCTGTACTTCGACAGACGGAGAGCTTTCGTCACAAACTTCAGCACTTCCGGGGGAGGAGTAGGGGGCGTGGTCTTCCCCTTGCTCATCCGACGTCTATTGGATGAATACGCTTTCGAGGGCGGTACGCTGTTGACAGCTGGAGTATTGCTGCACACTTTGGTCTTCAGCGCCCTCCTGGCTCCCGTGAAGACGTACAACCCAGACTTTGAATTAACATCAGAAGTTGATGACTCTGAAAGCTCAAAAGTATGCGATGACAGGGAGTTATTTATCGGTGCGCCAGGAGGGTCTTCCGATTCAGCGTTGACGAAGTCCCATAACAGTATATCTCCGTCTTTGGAGATTTCATCCAGTCAACTCTCAACCGAAAAACAGAAGGGAAAGACGGAGGTGGAAACTTTGAAAAGAAGTCGCTACATTCGTGATCTTGTTTTTTCTCTGTGGACGCCAAAAGATACCGTACTTTTAAAACTAGTTTCCTTTTGGGCGTTGTGTATATTTTTTTTCTGCGGTGCCACCGGGCAGGGCATTTCCCAGTCATTCATTCCCGCCTTGGCCAAGGAAAAGGGATTTTCAGACGAGGAAGGCGCTTACCTGCTGTCCCTTCTCAACATTCTAGATTTTCCCTCACGCATGATCGGCGGACTGGTGGTCAACATGGGGTTTTTGAGTCCCTCCCAAGCGTGCGTAGGTCCGATGCTGGTCATCGGAGTTTTGGGACAGCTGACAGAGTTCTACAACACCTACCAGTGGGTAATTTTGACCTCTGTTATCATGTTTGAATTCCATGACAACCCCTCCCCCCAAAAAAAACCCACGAATACCTACCCATCCCAAATTTGTTTCTAATATATGATGATCCGGACCCCTTATCCAAAATGGATTCTAGGAGAACCCTGATCTAAATCATTATTAAAACTGCTGTAAATAAAGAGCTTTGGAAAAGGAAGTGAAAATGATATTAAAAGCAACAAAATCTGAAAATTTGCAGGAAATTAAAGTTAGATATAAGATGCAAATTTACATGCATGAAGAAACAAAATTTCTGGTCCCCAGGCAATATTGCATAATTTTTGACACAATTTTGGAATCAATCAACGTACACCTATTACGGGTAATGCATTGAGTACTAGAGGGTTTACTTCATCAAGAAGAATGCAGCTACAAAAAAAAAATGATAATGGCGGCAGCAGCGTCAGCAGCAGCAGCAACAACAATAACAACAACAACAACAACAACAACAACAACAACAGCAACAATAACAACGCTAACAGCAACAACAAAAACGGAAAGGAAAACGGCAGTACCAAAAACATCACCAACAGCAACAATAACAACAATACCAACCCAAAATAGTCGAAGCGACCAGAAAAACCCCCACCACCAACAAAAACAGAAGCAATTTACAAAAAACAACAGTAACAGTAGAATCAGCAACAATAGAAGCAATTTGTTTTAAAACGACAACTAAGCAACAAATACAAAACAAACAAAAAATCCAACGAC